AGTGAGTTAGAGTGTAAATGAAATGTATCAATCTCACGCTTCACAAGTTTATCAATAAATTAAAAGTACAATAATTTCAGTTAAAGTGGTGTAATTTATAAAGGACAAACTCATCTGAATACAAAAATTACTACAATAATTTTCCATATTTATTTCATAATTACAGAATAATATGAACACGTGATTTACTGTATTTAAAGAAAATATATACCGTATAAAATACTACTTATTTATACCTATGTGTGTATTTCTGTTATCTCTGAATTGTTGTTTATGTCTCGAAATCTATTTCATCGTGTAAATGACGAAACAATTGTTTACTAAAGAAACATCAATATTGACTGTAATAAACACAAAATTTATTATTATGATATTCACTTTCTAGATTTGTTATTCCAGAAAAATGTTAATGTTTATTACCTTTTGGAAAAGTGGTAATGAGAATATCTAACAACAATTTAATAAAAACTCAATGATGCTAATTTACAATATGATTGGCATACACATTTTGCATTTAACTTTGATGAGAATGCTTCATCATAAAACACTACATATATGATAAACAAAGATAAAAACTGATCAAGAACGATATCCAGTGGGACTGTAGATTTTTTATTTATAAAAGATAGAGAGTTCTCTGAATCGTATTGATGAATGATTTCTAAAAATCAAATGTTTACTATGCTGTTGCTCATTTGTGTTAGATTCCATGTTGATTTATAGATGAATAGCTTATATGCAAAAATGAATGGACTGGAGTTGGGAATGTGATTCAATGAATACCGATTTAATGGTTTAAAAATAATCAACTTGCTGTGAAAACTAAATAATCTTTCTTTCAATCCGTCGTATGATCATCGATAAGACAAGACATCTGTCCAGTATTCCCTAATTGTTCAAATAGACTTCAATCTGTGATTCAGTATATGCAAAAATTGAGCAGTCACCACCAACTTCCCATCATATGCTTTATCACATGTTTCACCACAAATGCTATTGAAACTTAGTTGTACTATCAATTTGAGTTTTTCGCAATGAGATTATTCGAGATATATTTATTAATATTTACTGCTCTTTCCTTATACGTGTCACATATAACGAACAGAATGCACGCAGTTAATATTTTATGTTTCCACTTTTTTTACGATAATCGTGAACAGGATTTTTGATAATATATCAGCATAGATAAACGATCCAAACAATTTATCAATCAGTAAATTATTGTGAACTATGTGGGAGATTTCAAGGTCTTTCATAATCATCATTACACGTGAGACTTTACAATCACTTCATTCCATTCCACGCAGATCCAGAAACGTAACAGAGAAAGAAAACAAATTCAGCATTAAATGTGGAGTACGTTGGATTACTTATAAGATGTATCATTTTGGACATAGCTGACGATTCTTTCACTCAGCTATGCAGGGATATTAACTAGCAGTGAGAAGGCATGATGTTTTATTTTTAGACCATTACACGCAGAGGATTATGGAAAAAAATTGGATGAGAAAGTACTGATATTTCCCACTGAGGTAATTCCAAGAATGTCAGAAAACTTTAGAAGTATGAAACTGAGATCAGTCAAGAATAAACAGACCCGTCGATAAAGATCTAAGTTACCTGTCTCTTCCATTAAAACTGCGAAATGGTTTAGGTCAGACAACCATATTAAGACATGAAAACAGTACACATAAATCAGTTCATGATATTACGCGACTAGTTTTGAGAGGAAATCTCAGGGGTTACAGTGTGAAACCGTAACTAGTAGAGTTAAACTGTGTCGGATGTGGGGAAGGTACCCACAAGAAACAATGGAAGATAATTACACAGCGTCGCGAAGTGACTGAAGTTCGACTTGTATACCACTGTATCCATACTTAGTGACCTAGATGTTAAGCGTTTGCGCAAGATCACTACTTAGATTCTTGATTGCGTAGTCGTGAATGTGCACTGATGAAGAGTACCATACTGGAACGGAACGGATGTCCAGTGCTTCCATGTTTTATATAATTACCTAACTAAAATCATTTCGTGGTTTCAGAGAATATCAACAAATCTCCACAACCACATACTCATAAGTCTCAACCTATGTTAGAGAGGTCAATTAGCCACATGGTTAGAGGTTACCCGGATAAAATACTCAATGGGATCACACTGATATATGAAGATAATAAAACGTACTAAATAGAGCAAGAACAAACATTGATGCAGAATAGTATGAATTCATATTATTTCGAGGTTTCTCGTCAGCTGCTTACAAATCAAAATTGTGATAGAATTTTTACATGGAGATAGTGTGAAACAATTGACATAAATGAGTGTAAATAACGTGATTGTTTCACACTATCTCCATGTAAAAATTCTATCACAATTTTGGTTTGTAAGCAGCTGACGAGAAACCTCGAAATAATATGAATTCATACTATTCTGCATCAATGTTTGTTCTTGCTCTATTTAAATTAATAAAGGTAACCAATTGCATGAAAACGTACTAAGTTAGTCTGTCAATCAGAAACAAGGTCCTAAGTTTGTACGGAGTCGGTTATTCTGGATTTTAAACAGCTCCTGTTATTGTGTATAAAAAACACACAATTTATATTTAACAATGTGCTGTACCGCCAAATTGATGGAGTAGCCATGGGCAGCCCTTTAGGCCCAATTCTGGCCGGCATATTTATGGGAAACCTGGGAAAAAAAGAAGCTCAAGCACGCAATCGATGGTACCACACTCTACTGTAGATATATTGGTGACACATTTCTTGTCTGCAACAATCACAAGCACTCCATTAACCTACTCCGTCTGTTTAAAAAAGCACACAAAGATATAGAATTTACTATGGAACATGGAGCTGAAGGTAAATTCCATTTCCTAGATATTGGAATCAGACGAACATCAGATGGTACATTACAAAGACACATTCATCGCGAAAATACTTGGAATGGAGTTTATCTCAATTACTACAGCTTCGGTCCAATGAGTTACAAAAAGGGTATTGTACGAACCCTTTTTGACCGCGCATGTAAAATCTGCTCAAAGGAATGCCTCGAAGAAGAAGTTCCTCCAATCAATAATTGCCTACATGAAAACGCATATCCGGCGAAATTCATCCATAAGTGCGCAGATACCAACCTTCGCGTAAGCATGATACAGTAGAAAATAAAGCTTGCTTCTTATACTTGCACTTCAAAGGAGATGAAATTATCGGAATAATTAACCACAGAATAAATTCCGCGTTGAAATTGACCTACCCAGCAGCAAAACTGACGACGTTATGGGAAACGAACTGCTCACCCAAACAAACTAAAATCGACAGGTCCTCTTTTCTCAGTAGCTACAACTGAATTTACCAATTCACATGTACGTACCAAAGCACATACATTGGAGTCAGTCGGTCAGCTACAACGTACGACCAGGCACATTTATGCATCGATCCAAGTTGCCATACCTCATTAACTCCAATAACATACATTGGAAGAACTGAGAGAAGAGTACATGTTCGCATTTCTGAGCATGTTCCAAAAAAACTTGAGGCTGCGAAGGATTAAGGCTTTCAACAGTGCAATAGCTCGGTATTTACTTGACACCGTGCATACCATCGACATTCCTCACGCTTTTAAAATTGTCAGCAGACAAAGAAGTACGACTGCTCTCCGTTTTGCTGAAGTGACCGCGATAAAAAAAACTTAAACAGGATTTATGTATTCAAAAAGAGACAGTAGTAAACTTAATATTACCCTGGTAATCGATTTTTGTTTAATTTTTATTGTTTTTTGGTTATTTGTGTTATTTTATTCATTTATTTAGTTTAAAATATTTATTTGGTGTTATATTCCTCCCCCATTACCGAATTCTTAAACCAACTTTTCATTCATACATTTCCGCCCACTTACCCTCTTAAATTATGTTAACTTTCCAAATTCTATTCAATTATTACGTAACCTCTCTTATCAGTGTTTAATTCCATGATTCCTTCATTACCTCTAAAATTATCACACAATTTATCTTATCTGTCTCTGAACTCCACTCAACTATTACACCACCCATCCTGAATAGTCTCCTTGATTCTAACAGCGAATAACCTCTGACCTGTTCTTGCATATGTGTATATATATATAGACATTATTGATAACCTTTGTCATTCCAATTATTTGCATTCAATTATGCCAATTGTTTCATACTATTTCTTATCTCAATGTAAAATACTAATACATATTTGATTATAAGCAGCTGACGAGAAACCTCGAAATATTATGAATTCATACTATTTAGCATCAATAATTGTTCTTGCTTTATTTATCAGATTGTTCACTTATACTTGAAGTAGGCGTCCATGACATTACCCAAAATGATATCGGAATCTTCCGGGTTAAATCATTCAGAGAACTCAGGATAACCAAAAGTACTCATCTGAGTAACAAATCTTCTCTATCATCTTAACAATTAGCTTTTCCAAAATTTTCGAACTTAAGAATGGGTAGATTAAGCGACATAGCGAAAATAGTAGTGTGAAGGAATAATAATAATAATAATAAAAAATAATAATAATAATAACGAAATGTATCAATCTTTCAGAGGATTAGAATGAAACTAAAAACAACTTTTTATAAAAATATGAATAAATAGTAAACGAAGTTTTCTGGGAGTAAATAATAGATTATTTAACGAACATACGAACGTCTGGAACTAGAAACTTCAGAAATCATAGAAGCTATTTAAATCAGGAATCGTTAGGTAGTTGAATAAAATATGACATACAAGACTCGAGATTATTCATTACACATGGAGTGCATCTATATTCATTCGGAGATTACACCAATCAGTTATGTTCGTTGGATTAAAACTGCAATTTACAGTGATAAGTTCATATTCAATATAAAAGTCCAAATTAACATTTAAAAAGTTCATGAAATAACATATTTACTAAAAAAAAATACATAACAAATACAGTATATACTTAACATTTATGATAATGGCCTTAACAATAACCTCTACATCTTACCATAACATCGATTTCCTCTCCCTAGCCGAAATCCATCAGGACATTGGCATTGATAACTCCCAGGTTGATTAATACATAATGAATATGGACACGGCGATATATAGTTAATATCATTATTGTACGGTTTCACATTGCATTCGTCGATATCTGATTTAATTAGTTTTTATTAATTATTATTGATTGTTTTGCATTATTTTTAAAAACACAAAAATGAATTATAAGTAGTATGGATTTTGACAAATTATTGATATGATTATATTATCAAACATTAAAATTAATTAAATATTTATCAGAATGTGGATCTTACTCATTTTGAAATCGGTCATGTTAGATTTGATGAACAGCACACAAGCACAAATTACGTTACTTATTAGTAACATAAAGTGTAAAGTACATAATGTTGGTAGAATCGTTCAATTAAGTGCATTTGTGACGCTTACATTATTTGCTTTAATACGGATAATAACGTAGTATCTATCAACTCTTTGTTGAAGGTCTCAAATTCAATAAATTTATATAATAAAAATAACACTGAATAAAATAAATTCTCGAGTCGATCTAAGCTAAACCACCTTTAGAAGTTGGAAGCACTGAAAGGCCGTTTCATCCTAATATGGAAACTCTCTGGGGTGCGTATCCACGATCCTGCATTTGATAGTTGAACTGAGGATTTTCGATTTCGCGCGTGAACGTCTAATCTCCAAACCACTTATCGATCATCCAATAGTGTTATTATCTTACTTCAAGCGATTCATTATCTTGCTCAACCAGTATATTCTAATCCGTGTAGGGTGTGAGAGAGTTATCCAGCTCAGATTATAGATTAAGGGTTGCACAAATCATGGGTCAGTTGAATTTAGACATCAATATCGTTGGATACCGGCTCAGTGGTGTTACTCTACTTATATTTGGATTGTGTATATTTTCGTATTCAAGGACGCTCGTTTGATTTTGTTTCGATCATCTCAGCTGAATGTAACTGTATCATATTGTTGATTGTAACTTAACACGTGAATATAATCGACGGATAATATTATTTTTACTAGATTTTTACTGTTTTTTGCATTTGACTGGTTTGCCAATTCAACTAACACTTTTCAGAAAAAAATATGAATTTTTCCCCATTTACAGTTCACGATGATCACCAGTCAAGCCTAAATCCTTTCCGGGCGAAAAATGACGGCAAAATTAATTTTCCAGTGTCGTTTCGGAAAAGTAAAGTGTAACTAACCTTGTGTTTTTTTCTTTATATTAATATACCTAGCTATTCACATAATTTAATTACTATGGCAGGATATTATTTTTGTTTTATAGTTATATTACTAATAACAGTAATAGTAGCTTAAGTAAAGTATCTAAAATAACGTTCATAGGACTAAGATCTTGAAAAATGTAATGAACTGACCAACGCACGACTTTTCATTTTCTCCATTTTTATATCCAGGAGCACACTGACATCGATAACCGCCAATCATATTTACGCACTGGTGTTCTTTTCCACAAATATCTGGTTTTTCAGTGCATTCATTAACATCTGTGAGAAACAAAGTAAAGATATTGTTGAAAGTAAGAATATAATCGAATGTTTCAAAAATGTGGTGAAGAAATACATGATTATTAGTGTAAATATCAGAAAAGTGGATATTTAATCTGGTTTTGTTTTAAAAAAACACTAGGAATGGAGTTTTGACCTATACATGTGTACAGTTATATTTTAATGATATAGATATCTCGAAAACATAAGTTTTATATGCTTGATTAACTTGTTTCTGATAAAATTTAATTCAAGAGAAAAATAAACAAGACTACCGTTCGTTTAGCCCATTATAGATAACAGCTAGCAGGTCTAACAATGCCACGAGTGAAAGTGAATGTAATTATGGGTTGTCATATGTAGGATTTTACGCAGCAAGATTTGTGATCTTTTAAAAATTATTAAATACTGTCTTTTCATTGTGCTTTGTTTCTATCTATTAAGGCATGAAAGAAGTGTCAGTTGTTGTTGCGGAATGCCATAGATTATTAATGTCATCAGACTCTGTACTCCAGTGGTAGTGCTTAAAGTGATTTAAACGGTTATGCGGATTTATTTTATTTTGTTACATATCAGAAGACCTCGGAACAGTTTCAGTAAGTATAGACATATTTCATTTTCATGTAGTTAATAATGAAGTGAATAGTGTACGCTGTGGTTCTGTGTGACTGTAACACATGGATGTTAAGATTGAACTGACACGGTAGACAAAAAGTTAACCTAATCATCACCCCGTTAATTTCATAGTTTGATGATTAACTTATAATATCTGAATCGCATATTCATCTATGTTTTGAATTCAATTCAATAATGATTATTTTCATGATAATGTTTTTGCAGATACGTACGCGACTTCCCTACATAAAATAATCGATTCTTATAGAGGTATATCTCGAATTCCCGTTGTTGTTTGTCAGAGTATTAAATAAATTACTCGGATATGTGAGCTGTAATCGACATCCTTAATAACTGTATTGTGTTGCGGGATCAATTGGAAAATCTGTCGTCTACATAACTCACGATACTCCTGTTATACAATGAACAAGATAAACAAAAGCTGACTTTAATTGCTGCTGTTGTTCTATATGTTTAGTCGTAGTAACAACTGAACAGTACTGATGCTACATGCATATGCATGCGTTATCCACTTAGCTACTGAGTCCTGATAGCCACTAGCTTGTGCGATGGAGTGAAGTTTAATTCATTTTTGTATTGGTTGTTTGAATCTTCCCATTGATGTTTAGGATTTCAGTTAATCAGTCTCTTATAATGCTTGTGACTTAAGGCAATATCAAGACAATCCGCACAGGATGCACATATGCCAATAAGAGACTGATTAATTGCAGTCGTAAACATCAATAAGATGATTCAAGCAACCAATACAAAAAGGTCTGAACAAAAATGGTTTAAATTAAAAGGTTCATTTTAAAAAGTTATGGAAAGTAGACTCAAAACGTGGTAGTGTATTTCAATGACATTCTTGTCAGTAGGCAAAGGAAACTATGTAGTTTAGGAATGTGTTAAAATATTAAACCACATACATAAATCTATATGTTAATTTCGTTTTTTTATTAAATCTCTTTCATCACACTTTAAAGCCTTTATTACTTATGAAATAGATTATACTAATTTTTTCGTCTGAGCATTTGTAAGATTAACGATACTGTTCAGCTTTGTTTTTTTGATGAACTTTTCTCCAGAAAAAGTAATTACGACTAACCTTTGCATTTTAAGTCTGGATAACCTAACCAAATAAAACCTTCAGGGCAGACACAAACGTAACTTCCTTGGGTATTCACACACCGAGCCCTTGTATCAGGACAGGATTCCGCTGGTGTAAATATTGAACATTCATCAATATCTAAGGTACAGTAGATAACAAACAGAACAGAAATATAACTTCAGTGTGTACAAACAAATAAGTGTGAGATATGTTTTATTCTCGACATGATTGACCCCTACGGGTCAAGTTACTACTAGCCAATAACTTCAATAAAAAAAAATCATCATGTTCAAGTGTGAAGCCCCGACCAGTGGAGCTAAACTATATGGAAAGTGGGAAAGTGTATATAGACTATAATTTCTACAACTTAGTCAAGCATAAATAGTTTTGAGCTCATCGCCATTCTGTTGATAAATAACGTGGATTGAGCAGGAAGATTTTCCAGTTTTGTCTACATCCCACCACATATTTTTGAGGAAAATAAACATTTTTTTAGAAATCAAATTAAAAAATTTAAGGAACCTTCTAGTTTCTAGCCTTACGTATGCGAAAACTAGAAAATATGTTTCCACAGCTTTAAGGTAGTAATTTTTATTAGAATCAAAATAAAAGTTTTCAAAAAAAAATTGACTACAAAATGAAAACTATTTAGTCAGTAGTTACTTTATAAAAAGTCAAAATAATTTTCGTGACAGACTGACATTAACTGAAAAAGTACCAGAAACTAGGTATTGAATTCCATTATCCCGTATATTTTACGTGAATTCAGGTTAAAACTTTGAACTTAAGTGAATTTAAGGATAACTTTACTAGTAACCATGAATCGTCATTCATGCTGGGATCGATTTTAAAGGTTTTAGATCTCTTATCAACTCTCTATTATCGTATTAAAAACAAATCGCTAATATACATCAGATTATCTTTTACAATCTGTGAAAACATGAGCATTGTAAATTTACTATAAGCGAAAAGTGGTGAGTGTTAAACTTTAAAAAGGTCGCTCTTTTGTGACCTACCTAATGTACGGTCCGAATGTCTTATGTATTAGTGTTTCGTTAACCTATAACTTATCTAAGGAAATACCCTAACATTGTAAACGTTTGTCAAAATTCGAATCAACGGCTTAACAGAAATTGAGTTCTAAGTATAAAACAGATATCATATGTAAAATCATGTTTAAATAGTCTCAGCGATTGAAATCCAAATAATCTTAACATAGCACCTGCCAAACTAGTCCAAGCTTCTATAAAGAAAGCTCCTTGAGATTATTCAAGTGCAGTTTTCACATTGAAATTGCACAGTTGTCAGTAAAACGTCTCTGGTGAAATGTATGAATTTAAGTTGTATTTGTTTCAATAGTATATAAAACTTTTGTATGATGATGAAATACTAGAAAGTCTTTTTTAGATTTCACTTACTGAGATTAGATAACGAAAGTAGATGAAAGTTATCAAGGCTCAGTACAAATATTACATTATCAAACTAGTTAAATCCAACAATACAATTTAATTTGCTGTGTTCATTACTTTATGTAGTCATAGTGTAAAATTTTTGTGGATGGATTTCAACCAAGTGTGTGTGAATGAATATCAAAAATGAGTTAAGCACATTATATTAAATTTCTTCAACTACTCAGTATCTGATAAATACTAAATGTCCATTATTTCATTTGGTATTATTTACTTGAATCTTCACACTGATGTTTAACACTGCAATTGATCAATCTCTTATGACTCAGTAACTAAATAGATAATGCAGTGGCGTTTGAAGCGAACGGTACTGCGTTCGAGTCCCAGAGTGAAGATCAACTCTGAGATGCAGGTACATCCAGCTGACGAGTCCCAAATAGGACGAAACCTACATCCTGTATTCCACTACTAGCCACTATCCATCTTTGCTTATAAATGTTTATTAATTCACGAAAACTAATGTATCCAGTAACGTCATATTTACAGATCAGTTCAATTATTTGACTAAAGTTATCGTAATAAATCACATTCTTACTGTAGGGAGGAGATAAAACAAACCAAATATGAAATAGATTTAATTGTTCTATTTAAATAATATTCCCAAATTAATCAAAAGATGTCATGCTGTAACTATTCAATGAGAATCAGTTAACTATGATCCAATAGAGATAGTAACTTTAGAAAATAAACAAATCAGTAAACCAAAACAGTATGAGGTACACTTATGAGAAAAACAGGAAAATTGTAAAATATCATGCCTTTAATCTTTACAATAACAATTCTAGAAACAAGTAAAAAACTTTATGTAAACAGTATGCTTGAAAAAACTTTTTTTCATTGTTGTTGTGATTAAATATGTAAGACGTTTATAAGAGGAAATATTGTTGAAACACGAAATGGACTTGGCTCATTAAACATTATCAATAATCAAGGAACCAAATAGTATAAGGAAATGATTCCTTTATCCGATTATCGTTAAATTATTAATTTCTATCATTATTTTGCGAATGTACTTTAAAATGCACAAAAGCAGAGTCAGTCTTTTCCTTTGATAACATTCATGCCTGGATTACTTTCAAATAAATATATATTTTTTTCTGGTAAGCATTTTTTTAGCGAGTTAGTTTTCTACGGGATGGGGACGCTAACCCCATGCCCAACTCTCCTCCTTTACCCGGACTTGGGACCGGCAGTGACTCTGGAAGAGCTACAGGCGGAGCTGGAAAGGATTGCTCAGGATAGGGTTGGATGGCGAATGCTGGTGAGCGGCCTATGTTCCTTCACAAGGAGTAACCGGCGCAAGTAAGTAAGTAAGTAAGTAAGTAAATATACATATATATATATATTTCTTATAATATTTAACATCAAAGTACTTTTAATAATCTATTTGAACAATGAAAAAGTATGTTAATCGTGCAAATTGTATGTGAAGAATCGATATAATTAATTGTTGATGAAAAGATATAATTGTCATTGTCAAAGTCAAGTTATATCTATACACAATTGTTGATAGTTCTTACAAAAAACGAAAAAAATCAGTGATATATACAACCGATCAAAGAAATATTTGTATTTGTGTTGCGATCACGAACCGACCTAAGCTTAATAACCATTGAAGACCAGAAAGAACTGGATGGCCATTTCATCTAACTATGGCACAGTTTAGCAGGGTTCATACACGGTACTATAGAGAATGAACCTAGGATTTTCAGGTGTTCGGGCGAGGCCTTAAACTTCAGACTAATGAGCCAACATTCAAAGGTTGACATTGCCTAACTTCGGTCAACTGGTTATAATCCACAAATAACCGTCATTGTTTTGAGTAGATAAATGTCTCTGTAGATCAAGCGCTCGCTACAAGACCTGAAAGTCCTGAGTTCGATCCCTCGTAGGGTTATTGATACACATTTCTGAAGAGTCACGTTTTGAGACAAAATAGCTACCCAATTCTTTCAGGTTTTCAGTAATATACTAAGGTCGGTTTTTAGCAGTAATAACATTCAAAATCATCCACGCAACCTCTATCATAAAGAATATTGATGACTTGACAGTGTAAATTTAATTAGTAAACATAAAGATTATATACGGAATTAATCAGTTAATATAATATAAGCATTGTGCTATATCGCCCAAATGACCATGGAACTATGTTGACGCAATTCACATCAGTACAAAAACTTGAAGTTAAATCAATGCAATGAGAGGAATCAAAAAGAATAATGCTGACATTAATGAAAAACCAAATATCGTAAATCTAGTTCAAAACGAATGAATAAAATTCTGAAATGAAATGTGTGAAGAGAACGTGTGAATTGATCTACGTCAATGAGATTAATTTAGAGTTATATCAACTGACGTATCAATCACTATTAACGAAGTTTCATTAGACTTTGTCAATAAGTTCTCAGAATACCCAAGAACTTAAACACAAATCCAATTGATATGATGGGATAAAAAGACGAAATCTAATTTTAACTCGAGAATTTTGGGTCAATATTACTTTTTTTCAATTCAATATAATGATTACTCAATGTAATGTTTGTTTGGCTTTCCAATCAGATATTTTATTCATTATAACATTAGTTTATTTTAGTGTACTGTTTCTCCAAGATACGATATTCCTGTATTGAATTAATATGAAATATACTCAGAATGATATGCATCATGTGAATTGTTATAAATCCGGGTATTTTTCATATATATGTGATTTTATTCTAGTTAGTAATCAAAATGAGTTTACAGTCAGTATATAAGTGAATATATTTTTGACTAGGATAGTCGTGTTTTGTGGTTAAGAAATCTTCACTCATACAAGTCTTGGTGTTCTTACTTCAAATCGTAGAAATTGCAGCGATTACTTGTTTTCTTTCTCAAGTTTAAGTGATATTTATATCTTTATTTATCTACTGTCAAAATTCACAAATTTCATTCCACGCTTACTGCTATATCATATTAAGTTGAGTGCTGATACCGGAGATACAACATGCTTCAGCAATCAAATTTGACCTAATGTTTCTACTTGGTGCTCTTTACCTAAAGTTTAAATTCTTTACTAGATGATTATATGATAGTTCATTGTCAATTATTACGTTCAAATTTACCGAACTCTAAATAAAAACAAAATAAGTTTTTTCAATTCACTTGTGTTCAGCACCCCATAAAAACAATAAAAGAGGAAAGCTAATAGAGAATTACACACAGGCTGTTAAAAATGAAATTAATTTTCATTAAATCTTCTTCGAATTTCTCATTGATATTCACAGATATATCAGACATTGTAGTTAATTACTGTAGTTTATTTCTATTATTTTTTTACAATAATGTAATGATTAAGCTTGAGTGAAGACATAAATTATTTATCGCCACTTTCTGAGTTCACTTATCCCAAAATCCTATTTACTATGAGGTCATCCACCACTTTAAAACTGGTAACTAATATTGAGGATTTTTTTCAGTAGTATTGACTTCAATGTAAGTTGTAGTATTTTCGTGGTTAACTTTCTGAAAATGTAGAATTTCATTTATAGACTCATTGGTATTATAATTGTAAAATTCAGTTTATTAAACGTCAGGAACATCATACTTTTGCCGTTTCTAAGCATATATGTGAAGTTAATGCTGTGCTTCAAAACGGATTCATTTACACTTTTTACTAGTTCATTAAATGTTGTTTATCAAAATTTTGAACTCTTTACCTAGTGATCATTCAAGAGGATAGTCAAAAAGAAGAGAGATTATTGAGAAATCTACAAGTAAATTATCTATTTACGATGAAAAATTATGGTTCATGATAAAGTTCTTATGAGAATAGCTGACTGAATTTTGATATACCAAACTGCAGCGCATATCAACAAATATTAGAATCAGTGAGATAAAAGTAATTTCTTTGAGATTTTAGGTGATGTTTGCTAGTCAGTCCTAAGTTTTTAAAACATTATAGACTCTATTAGGTATTGGTGAAAGCATCATCGAAAGCTAGATGGGATACTTTAGATTACCTGATCCTCATTTACATCAAAGCACGTTGACCATAAAGGATAATGAAAAATTTCTAATTTATAACAATAAGGATTTCCGTTTCAATCCTTCATTATAACAAGATAATTTGGTAAGCAAAATCGTACACTGATATTCATTTAAAATGACACTTATAAGGATATCATTTCATGAATTTGACTGAAACCTATTAAAAGATTGAAAAATAATACGATGGTTGTTTACAGTGTAAACATGGAAGCTTTAAAAGTATACAGTACATTATTTAAAATGTAAGCTTACCTGTACAATCTGTTTCATTAATATTCTTATATCCATGTTTACATATACACTGATAAGAACCAATAGTATTTTTACAAAATGTATGAGCACCACAACTGTCTATGTTCAATTCACATTCATTTATATCTAATTGAAATTGGAATGAAATAAGAATGTGAAATATACTATCGACCTTTAAAGAATGTAAACTAGAAATATATCCTTAAGCCACATATGTTTCTCCTTACACTGAGTAGATTTTGCATATTATTAGGGCACTCATTGTTTATTAAGTGAACCACAACAACAGAATTCATATCTCTATGGAAGTTTGAAACGATAGATTATGGATTCCAGTAAGTCGGAATGTGAATAATAAATCTAGTAAACCTAATTAAGGAACTCGTAATGAGGCATCAATAAATATTATATTTCACTATTGAGTGATAGGTCAATCAGTTATTCCTGACTACTTAATGTTCAGTCCGTAGTACAAACTGAGTTCTGTATTCCATATTATAGTCTGTCCATCAAACTATTTGACTCTCTATAACAGTGGATTTCATTTTTTGACAAGATATTTGAGTTGTTTAGCTGTAAAAACTGGACTTACATTTCATTTTGATCAGGGCCCATCTGGGCGCTTGAGGGAACTGATATTCTAAAGGGGATCCCATCAACACTTAATTAGTGAACATGAAGATTTCTTCCAGTTAATCTGGCATGTCTCATACTGTATTTTTTTCCAAGAAATGATAAATTTTAATTTATCTAATGAATTACTTTTGATATGCCGAGTGTTAGTCATTCAACAAAACTTAAAATCATTCATTCAAGGACAAGTTCACTACTGAGATAAATTCTAATAATATTTGTCCTGAAGGTTTAATTACTATCTAACAGGATTTCAAAAATATTAAACTATTTTGGATTATCGAATATAACCCTCCGTCAACAGTGATTATTTGTATTCGTTTATGTTAAATAAAAAGAGTGTGCTTTTACCCATCACTTTACGTACAATTACGTTAATGTATTATGGTTCAGGTTTCTTAAAGTATATTTCATTTTCAACCATTGTTTTATGCTCGTCACTGTAATATATCACCATAATTTTTTCTACTAAGTCTAACTGCATCAAGTCATCAAGAAAAGTCAAGTGCCATCCATAACCACTAGGTACTTACTTCTTGTAAGTCATTATTTTGTTCAACGTTTTAATCCCTTATAATCCTTATCATTAGTTATTTCTGATGTAGTGTATTCTTGATTAAGATTCCTTTGTTAGAAAAAGGTTATCAACAAAACTGTTACTGGGATATTTCAATATCACTCGAGTTGGGTAACATTTAATTCCATTTGTTGTTAGTAAAACTATGCCTTTTTATCAATGATTTTTTCTGTTCTGTAAAGTGAATCTTATGATAAATATTTTAATTTCTTGTGAGACTACATAATAATCGTTAATTCAACTTCAATTAACATGATGATGGCTTGGGTTAAAAATCAACTTCATTGAAACGTATTGTGGTGTGTGCTACTAATGTCGACATATATAAGTAGTATGTATCATCAATCGAAAGTGAAATGTCTGGAATCGCCCATGAGACATTGTACAGTTTTAATTGATATTAAACTAATATTTTTATAGTTTACCTAATTTTCTCATGACTGAAATAAATTTGAAATAACGAAATCAACATAAAACGAATTGGGATACATGAAAGTGACCAATTAATGGATAATAAATGCATTTTAAATTTATTTGTTCATTTCGCAAAAACACTGGGAAGTTATTAGATTATAGGAAAATGTATGTGAAACTTTTGGATAAATTTTACTATGAAAACTTTTAAATATAATTAGTTATCTAGAAAAACAAATTTATTCACCTTCACATCTTGAAAATTGAGATTTTCGTTTTAAACCTGATGGACATTCTTCTATTCGTATACAGCGAAATCCTCCGATATGATTCATACAAGTACTGTCGTAGGTGCAGTTATGCTTGTTTTCAGAGCATTCATCAATATCTGTTTTTAACAGAAAAAAACATTACTCAATGTAGAAAATATTATTTTCATGGAATATATGAATTGTGACCAACAATGAAATCCAGTAAGAGCTTTTCGTCCTATTTGAGTGAACACAAACCAACTAACACTGATCAAAAATTCATTTTAGCTTATCAATAATAGGATACTACGAATTCTCCCTAATAGCGGTGTAAAATATACTAGTTATAACTACTGACGTAAATAAATGTTTACTATAGTTGATGATTAAACATTCCCACTTATTAAGAATCATCATGTGTTTATGAGTGAATGACTACAAAAAAAGATTATTTGAAGTTCTGGTGTAAGCCCATGCTCTTATAAGTCAAAAAATTGAGTAGGGAGTTCGCAATTTATTATTCAAAATGCAATTTATTGGATTCCAGCTATATGACATAAATGTTTAATACATTCCACGAAAAAGATTTATGATCCTGATTGATGTATACAGTCAACAAAACTCACAGCACAAATAAACAGCTGTTTAATCCCTCTTAGTTTTTCAGTGATTATTTCAGTGACATCACTTTGCTATGAAAACCTTTTACATGATGTACACCTCCTTCAAGATAAACACACTTGTTCTGAATGTAATCATTGCTTCTATTTTCCATTGAAAAAATATTACAAACAATTTTTATTGCCTTTTGGAGATCGAATTTTCGTTATGAAATATATATCAACAAATACCCAAAGACTTATATTCTTTTGACTTCAATAGTTCCATAGAGAATAAATCTTACGAATGGTTAAGTGAATTGTTTTTTTTAAACCTACGATCATATTAGTAGTATCTCGAACCGTCAGTTTATCTATCTTATATATATTATTATAATATTATCCAACAATATGGTTTCAGTATGACAAATTTTAAATTCCCAGAATATTTTCGAAATTCAGTCAACCGTTTTGTTGTTTAAACCATACATTATAGTGAAAAGAATTGATCTAGAAGATTCTTATACTTACTACTAACAATTGAAAGTAGAATAATTAGATTTCATAAAAAATCAATGCTTTTTTAACAGATTTCATTCAGAAATATTTACAAATAACCTCGTAACTAAATGTTTATATATTACGGTTTGAATAATATGTATAATATACTCACCTACACATTCATTTTCAAGAATATGATATCCTTTTTCACAAGTACATTTTTTTTCTTGATAATCATATCTAAATAATAAATGGAAATGATATCGGTAGGATGATAAATTTAAGTTACAAAAGATTTGGCAAATTAATGGTATTGAGATTATTGATTGAGAAATCAAATTGATAAATGTAGGACCAAAGATAATGTAATTTAAAGTTTTGCTTGTGAATGGTCTAAGACAATGGTCTAATGTATATAGACCATTTGCCAAATATGGTGTCCTATACTTTCTCTTAAATAACGAGATTTCAATAATTCAATAATCGAGAGACTTATACAATATTGCATTTAAGACGGTTTTAAAAGCTAAGTTTTAGTAAAAAAATATATGTGAAAGGTACATTTTATGCATTTATGAAGTCAAATTGAAACCAATAGTATATCTGTTGGTGATGATGAATGAAAAGTTTACCCCTTAGTAATAAACGTAAACTTTGTAATAATGACAGTTAGTAAAAGTGTACTAGGTAAGAGATGGTGAAGGGTTCTATTAATAGAAAAATTCACTTTTGGAAGCACTGAATGTCCGTCTCGTCCTAGTATGGATTTTCTTAGCATTCATAATGCCACAACTCGGGATTCCAACCTACAACCTTCGGTTCGCGGGGGAATGCTTAATCTCCGGACCACTGAGCCAGTATCCAATGATGTTAATATCTAACGTCGATTGATCCATGATCCCAATACTGATAATAACCATGTGCTCAGTAGTGACTAGCTTCAAGATGAATTTCCTGGAGTTGTAGTGAGAATCCGTGACCAGTAGAGTTCAATCCGTGTCGGGTGTGAGACAGTTACCTACATCAGATAATTGATGAAGGGTTGCGCAAGATCATGGATCAAATAAGGTTAGACATTAATACCGTTGGATGCCGGCTCAATGGTCTGGAGAATAAGCATTCGCTCGCGAGACCAAAGGTTGTACGTTCTATTCGCGGGTGCGGGATTATGGATATGCACTGCCGAAAAATCTAATACTAGGACGAGACGGCCATTCAATACCTTCAAGTTTTCAATGATGGTCTAGCTTAATTCATCTGTTTAAATACTACAATCTCCACCAATCATTACACTAAGAAAGGTTTTTCTTAGTTGTTATTTAGAACGTCCTGATAAATGAATGTATGGTCAGATTTTTCAACGTGAACTTCATGGAGGCACTATGTTCTTAAGAATAAAACGATCTTCGGATTACATTAGTAATTCTTCAGTGTTAAAACCTAAATTATCTAAAATATACTTTGAAAGCAATCATGTACAATAACAGAAAACTTACATTTGAGTTACAGTACAATTGGATTCTGTACAGTAGTATGAACCTAGGGTGTTAACACATATTTTCCCATCATCACAGTGAAAACTTCTTTCCAAACATTCATCTATATCTAAAATAAAAAAACATCCAGGAACAGCCTAAATTTGTTTTGTTTAAAGTACTTTTAATAATTATGTTTACGTAATTAAAACTAGTATTTATCTTCTGACAACCCAATTATAGTACTGTATGATTTCCTAAGGATGAAGTTATTTTCATAAGTAAATTTTAGGTAGCTTCAATTCCACACTCATCCAAGTTAGACGTTTGTTCTTTCTCGCAAAGTTATTATCTAAATGACAGTTACTTAGAACAAGTAGCTGAATGTGTTATTAAGAGGACATTTATTACTTCTAACATGGTTTTCAGTAAATAATTAATTATATTCAACAACTGGATGACGATGCTCATTGTTCATTACTTCATACACCTTAAAAAATATTTCAAAAGTATACATATTTATACATAAATTTTTGCTTAAAATGCCGAACTAATCAAATATGAGAAAGTGACTTCATGTAACTTATAGGAAGACACTTATATAGTAGGTACACGCTTAAGCTTGATCAAGCAGAAAGTTGTCTTCACCATCTTTAATTAGAAATAACATTATATAAGTACAAGAAAGTTAACTGATTATGTAGTTATTGATATAGAGGATAGCAGATACTTCTGTAGACAAAGAAGTATACATCAATAATTTAGACTGTGTAAAATGTTGTAGAGGCATAGTTATGGTTTTTATAAAAGATACAAAAGGAACAGAATTTTTTACTTAAATGACGAAAATCTATAAGTCTGATATACTTTGGTTTTAAGGTTGAGAAACAGTATAAATTATGACAAACTCATTAACCATGAAAATTCATCATAGGTATTAATGATTCTCTAGTTTTAAGTAATATATTTTCATTTCAACTTGTTTGTGTACTTACAGACTAAAAAGTAAAATAAAAGCATCAATGCCACATTGTGAGTTACTCAGGTTTAGTAATAAAACATCGCTACACTGTTATTTAATCTTTAATAGGCAGTGTTTGCATTTGGCATTTACTTATATCCTTTATTTTAAATTAAAAAAAGATGTAACGAATGAGTAGAAAGTTAACATAGTAGAAATAAATAAGTGATAATAAGGAAACAACAGTTTCATGTTATTTTAATAGCTTACCTATACATTCTGTACCATTGGCATTAATTCGCGTACCATGAGCACAATTTAATTTGGCTTCACATAAAAAGAAGCCACGTTCATTAATGCATTTCTCCCAAGATCTACATTTATTTGCTTGTTGACACTCATCAATATCTATAGAAAACAACAGTTTATTAAAATTAATTTATGAAACTTGTACAATTTAATACGTATTCCTTTTAAAATTTATCATTTCCAGTGAGACGATTAATACTTGAGAATAAATGTGCTAATCAAGAATGATCTAGTTCTAAATCAATCCGACCAATGAAATGTTAGACAAAACGATATCAGTACAATGATCAATCTTGAAAATTATAAATAAAATGATCATTCAGTAGTTTGTTTATAATGGAAATGAGTTTTTAACATTTTGTTATTGCATAAAAATATCCGTCTCTTAGGAAATGAATATTGTTTACAAATGAACATGTGTTAAAGCAGTAGACAGAATTGACGTAATCGAAATGCTTATAAATGCAAACACGTCTAAGCATTCAAATAGCATGTCCATTACCGATGATCATTTGTGATATATATATATATATATATATATATATATATATATATATATATATATATTCTTTTTATATATTTTTTCCAGTAAAGTCTGTGTGTCTGTGAATAAATTTGAGGTTCACGGTAAATAGATGTACTGTTTTCATCATAAAATATTTGACAGCCAACGATCATTATTCATTCTAAATCTAAAATCATGACCTATTTATCAGTTTAGGATTGCGGAGATTGTTGAGTTTAAATTGATATCATTAGTGGATCGATGTTAAACCACTATTTTTGTCTCAGTGGTTTAGAGACTAAGCGTTCGCGCGAGAGCAAGTGAGTGCGCTTTGCTAAGGAGTTCCATACACCGACGAAACGGTCATCCAGTGTCTGACATTGATCCATTCAAGACCTATTTGTTCAATCAAAGCAATATGATGCAAGGGCTAATTTTCACAAGTGCATTGGAAAATTATACTTTTTTTCTTTTGCCTCTTTATGTGAACATTCTGTCAGAAAGTTAAATAATAGTTTAATACTAGTAAACTTTAAAGATTTGCGCAACCTTTAGGATTGTAGTGTGAAAAACTTACTAACTCAACTTTCATAGTTAATCACTTTATGGATGGAAAATGTGACTTTTTTACACTTCATTGTTTACTGTTATAGAGATTATACTCATAGTACAGATAATAGCGTATTGCTAATGTGATCACTGATATTTTTCAATTTCTGTCTGATTGTCAACTCATTTTTCAAATACTTCCTTACCATACAGAGCCACTTGTGACTGTTATTAAAATAAGTTTAATATGTAGTTTTTTGATAGTACTCACAGTGTCATTGATACAGTTTTCCGATAAGTAAACTGTATAAGTTGATTATCAGCCTAATTTTTGGTTCTTTCTAGACGAAATGAATTTTTTGTTTCCAAATAACATCGATAAGTCTTGGGTTGTAAACCTTCTGATCAATAAAGCAAGGGTTATTTGGACTTTTATTCATACTTTCACGGTAATTGAAAGTGATCTCCGTAAACTAGAACTAATTTGCAGTTTACTTACTATTTTATTTACATTACCCATAACCATCAGTGAGGTTTAGTACAATCAGGTGACTTTATAAAATACTGTTACATTAAAAGTTAGAGAAAGTGTTCATGTACGGTGGTTACACAATTTAAAACAATTTTCACTATGAACTGATAGTAGATGGAGAGCGATTAGAATTTACTTTAAAATAAGTAACACTTATAATAACAGATTTCAAATTTCTGAGAATTGTTTAGATATTTACAGTTTCACTTTTAGTATCATCGAAAGTTTGTATAGATTCTTTTGATTTGAATTTTCTTGATATAACAAACTGACACCAGCTTAAGAAATGGTGAAAGAGTGCGTTTAGTAAAGTTTTCATCTTAATCCAAGACTCACTGGGTGTATACTCACATGCTGACATCATAATGAATGCACATCTTTCGTAGGCCTTTTCCTATTGTTTTATAGCTTTCAACGGTCTATCGGCTAATGTCAAGCGTCAAGTTATTACTCATTGATTCGTAAAGCAGATTATACATGACATATAGATATTTATTTAAAGTAAAATGAAGCCAATATCCATCTACAAATATCTCAATTTTCCCACTATTTATGTTCAGGACTGAATTCGGATCAGTCACTTTCGGCGTATGTGCATCAATAATACAGTGCTCCGATTTAGATAATAAATCACTAATACATAAGTAAGCATATATAGTAGCCAGCATTGAAATCCGTGAATTTTCTCCCATTTTGGGATCATTAGCTGGATATACCTGCATTCCAATGTTAATATTCACACATGGACCCTTAACTTAATACATTTCGCTTCAAATACCTGATGCATTATGAAGACTGAAATTTAAGTACATGCAGTTGACATGTCGTAAATGGAGGGATAAGCGCATCCTGCTTTCCACTGCTTGACACTATTCATCTCAACTTGAATAAACACAGTTCAGAGAAAAATATTTCTTTTCAACAATATATTTTCTTCGGTATATTGCATTTATTTTAATCGGTCACACAATGTATTACTTTCGGTATTTATTATGTTTAAGAAAACAATTTGTTGTTTTAGCACCATCTCATATGTTCATGGAATATGAATTACTTAAATGTGCAGATGAATACATTTGTTAACCATACTAAAATAGTACAGCACAAATTAAAAAAAGACAATGTTTATGCCCTAAAAATGATTTACATAACTTATCGACTTTCATATGGAATCCTAAGGAAACAAATATATATTACTATAATCTATATATTGTATTAATTCACTTTTTGCTTTACATTTGACTTACATAATTCTTGCATTCTCCGATATTTAATTCTATAAAATGGGTGAAAATCTTACAAACAGAATGTTAACATTTATGATTTGGCATATATTTATGCCAACATCTATTCTATTATAATAATTATAATTACAATCTATTAACTATAGTGTTTTATACATTTATGTTTTTAGGGTAAAGCTTACTGTTTTAATAAATCGTTTTATTTTATAGTTTCCTAAATCACATTAATCGATTTATCATATTTATATTTTCAATGATTTAACTTTTAGCTCAGTTAGTAAAACAACAACAATAAACAAACACTCTGGTTGATTGCTGTAACCAATTTAAAAGTAATAAGCACTACACAAACAGTATATTGACAGATAAACATCGTGAGGCCATCCGAAAACTTAAGTTGAATGAACACATTCTTATCACTAAACCTGATAAAGGATCGGGCACGGTAATTCTAAACAAGACAGACTACATAGATAAGATGAATTCACTGCTGAGTGATCAAACTAAATTCCAAAAGCTTGGGTCATGTAAAGACCTCAATGAAAAGACCGAACGTCAACTAACTGCAGCATTAAAATTCCTAAATCAACACCAACACATCTCTGAGCATACCTATAATATGCTTAAGCCTTCTGGAACACATACCCCTCGACTATATGGTCTACCTAAGATCGATAAACCTGATATTCCTCTACGCCCGATACTGGATATGGCAAATTCACCATACCATTCAACAGCAAAATGGTTAGTTAAGTTATTAGAACCATTGCACCAAGAACTTGCTAAGCATAATGTTAAAGACGTCTTTGAATTTGTTGATACAATTAAAAATATGAATATAAATGGAAAAACCATGCTATCACTAGACATAACATCTTTGTTCACTAACATCCCTCTGACTGAAACTATAGATTACATATGTGAACAACTGATAGAAAAGAAAATAGAGATTCCTATCCCAATAAACAAAATGAAAGAACTTCTCTTGAAATGCACTATGAATATCTACTTTAAGTTTAACAATGAATTTTTCCGACAAGTAGATGGGGTAGCAATGGGATCACCTCTAGGTCCGATCCTTGCTAATATTTTTCTAGCCAAACTAGAAAATGGACCGCTTAAAGACATCCTAAATAAGCTTGATTATTACTGTCGATACATAGATGACACATTAATCATATGTGACGAAAATATCGACAAACAGGAGATGTTAGACGCTTTCAATAATGTCCACCCAGCCATTAAATTCACCAGCGAGGAGGAAAAGGACAATAGCATAGCTTTTCTAGATGTCCGACTCTCTAGAAGGATAGATGGTTCCATAAAGCGAAATATGTTTAGAAAGTGTACATGGACGGGTCAGTATACCCATTTCCAAAGCTTCACACCTCTGGAATATAAAATAAATTTGGTTAAGTGTCTCAACCACAGAATCAAGGTATTATGTTCTGAAGACAGTGTGGAGGAAGAAATAGTTATACTAAAGAACACATTACGTAATAATGGCTATCCGGATAATTTCGTCAAAAAATACCTCGTACAAAGTATTAAAAAGAGAAGACATTGCGACACGGTCAGTAAAAAGACCTTATATATGAAACTTGACTTTAAAGGCGACATAGCGGATGATATTCTAACACGTCGACTCAAAAGATCTGTCGAGAGGACGTTTCATGCCGCCAAGTTACACATAACTTTCTCGACTAAACCAGTACTCACACAACTAATCAAGGATAAGTTACCGAAGATGGGCTCCTCCATGTGTGTATACCAATTCAATTGCTCCTGTGGAGCTAGTTACATAGGCCGTACTCAGAGGGCTTTATCCTTGCGTGTTCGTGAACATGTACCAGCATGGTTGGGAAAAGGAGTCACCAAATCGATTAACAGCACCATTCTTTCTCACTTGGTAGATAGTGAACATCATATTAAAATAGAGGAAGCTTTCTCTGTTTTATATCAAGTCCCAAAACATCTACCTCAAGGAGCTAGATTACGACTGCTTTACACAGCCGAAGCCATCTGGATCAACTCCAGAAGACCTAACTTATGCATCCAGAAAAAATATATCCAGCCTCTATGTTTACCCTGGCCTACGACTAGATCACCGAATACCTAGACTGAATATTATAAACCTCTTACCTCTTCCTTCCTTCATTTTTATTTATTTTCCTTATTATCATTATTTGTCATTATCTATATCTTAATCTTCATATCCATCATTCCCAATTTGTTTACCGTAATTACCTTGATAACACCCACCCCCCTT